AACTAGATTTTATCCATAATGCAAATGTCATTACCATACAACTAATCGACATTATATTACTAGCTTTCATGTTGTTATTGTTGCAACCTAAAAGTTCACAGCTGACCTTGCTAGCTAGTTAACCCAATATTGCACATTCCACTATTGGACAGTGTTGCCATTTGGCAACACATACATTTGATCAATTTACAAAAAAAACAATTTGATAAAAACTTGTTTGAATTGTGTATATGTCATCATAACTTACTGGAGGTGATGTTTCAGATTTTTTTTGTGGATCTGACATGAGTTAATCCTTTGTTTTTATTAATGTTTTCATTTGCATTCAGCAACTACTCACAATAAACGCCAGTCTGTCAGAAATCACGCCACAGAAAAACACTGTACGTCATGTGACAACCAAATTTCATCAATGGCTAAACTAAGGTCTTCTCTTTCTAAAAAATAATAAAAAATTTTTAAATAATAAATAAATAAAATTAAACGCTCGTCAGTGGCAAGGAAATGAACATAAATATCATGTTGCCATTTGGCAACACCATGCGGTAGAGGGTTAATGCATCTAAGATTTATAAGCTCTTCTTTAAAACCTTACAAACATTTGAAGAGTAGTGTAGAAGACTGGGCTCTCTGAACGTAAATAAATCTTGGACTTGGTGGGTTCGCAGTTATGGCACACTTTGCCTCTTGAAATTAGAATGGCTCCTTCACTATCTATTTTTAAATCACTTCTAAAACTTACCTGTTCAGCATTGTCCAATTAATATTATTAAAATAGTCATTTCCATTGCTTCATTTTTTAATCTATTCAGTAGTTTCTCTTGGTTAATTTTAAAATGTGTCTTTATATTTTACTTATACCATAAGTGTCTCATGTACAGCACTTTGGTCAGCTTTGCGGCTGTTTTTAAATGTGCTTTATACATAAATAAAGTTGATTTTTAAGAGGGATCTTGTTGTCTGTCTGTTTAAAAGTGTCTTGTTCCCACTAGAATCCTCTGAAATGACCTCTAATCCAGCAAAAGGCACCAGCATAAGAATAAAGACACCATGCTTTCTGATATAAATTATTTATTTACATTACAGAAAAAGGACCCCATCAAGACAAACAAATTAACTATTGGAAATATTACCCATACATAACCAAAAAACAGGACTTGTCCTATCACGGTGTCCTAAAATTCTCTGTTAGTGTCCTGTGCCACAGGTGCAAGGCATCGTGTGTAGATCCCCTCGTCCTCCACCATCTCCTACCCTGTGCAGGATTCAGTGTCTCTGTGGGGATGGAGAGACAGTTTTTTCATCTTTATTTCCTGTCCTCCACACTACGCTGTTTCTCGTGTTTCTCTGCTCTCTCAGATGAGGCGGGTGGAGGCGCGCAGGGTGTTTTCAGAGTTGTAGTGCATTGTGTTCTGCTTCTGTCGGTTGATTCTGTTGGTCCGCGGGCACTTCCTGTGGAGGAAGGAAGCAAAAGTACATCCTTATCATACATATAACTCGCAGTGCTTTTTCTAATCAAAACAATGCCTGGAAGGAAAAACTCAGCTTATGCTATTAAAAAAATATCATGTTTCAGAGAATGAAAAAAGAGCTTTGGCTAAAAAAGATAAAGACAGACAGTTAAACTGCATCATGGCATACCGATTCTTTGTCGTAAGTGGGCTGTTTCATTGAATGGAGAATACAACAGATAAACACATTCACACACGATAGCTAAATCAATATATGGAATTTGTTAACATACAATTTGTTGGACCTTGCAAGTACATACTGATGAATACAATTTCACAGCAGTCTGTAAATAATGTTTTTATATTTACTTATTTTGTTTATTTTATTCAATGTGTTTGTAAAAATTACTTTTCATTATTTGGGAGGTATATATATTATTATATATATATTCTAATTATAATAGTTTGAATAACTCATTTCTAATAATGGATTTATTTTGTCTTTGCCATGATGACAGTATATAAATTTTTAATAGATATATCAAGACACTTCTATACAGCTTAAAGTGACATTTAAATGCTTAACTGTTAAATAGGTTAACTAGGCAGGTTAGGGTAATTAGGCAAGTTATTGTATAACGATGGTTTGTTCTGTAGACTATCAGAAAAACATTTAGCTTAAAGGGGCTAATAATTTTGACCTTAAAATAGTTCATAAAAATTAAAAACTGCTTTTATTCTAGCCTAAATAAAACAAACTTGTTTCCACTTTTGCCAGAGGAAAAAATATTATCAGACAAACTGTGAAAATGTTCTTGCTCTGTTAAACATAATTTGGAAAATATTTAAAAAAGAAAAAAAAAATCAAATGGGGGGCTAATAATTCTGAAAATCACTGCATTAAATTGCATTTTCCCCACCATGTCTTTGATATAAGACAGTTTATTCTACCCCAGTATTTTCAATAGAATTTCTACGCTAACCTGTTGCTACTGATGATGCAAGTGGTTACAACGGTCTTTCATCTCGTTTCACGCTTGAACAACTAAATAAACACTTGAGTCTATTTAACTGAATGAACTGTAATTACATTACAACATAGATGCTGTAAAAACAACCTTGTGAAATTAAAAATAGTCACATTTACCAACGGCTCTTCTTCAACTCTAGTTGTGCATAGAGCCTATCAATTTTCAATGTTTTCTTACCGTAACTATTTAATCATTTCAGTTGTACTCAAAAAACAATAATTTACTATCTGCATTTGGATTATGCTTTAATTTCAGATTACTGTTGCATTGTAAATAAGCCTGGTAGTTTTTTTTTTTTAAAGTGATTTTTGAAAATACTGTATGTATCACCTTGACTACATGTGTAAAGAACAACAGAACGTCATTTAATTTTTATTTCAACAAATATATATATATATATATATATATATATATATATATATATATATATATATATATATATATCTTCATGTTCAATGTAATAGTGTCAAAGTTAGCAAGTTAGGCAAGACGCAAGAAAGTTTTCTCTTTAGCTCTTTTTAGTTTGTATGTTCTCCCCGTGTTGGCGTGGATTTCCTCCGGGTGCCCCGGTTTACCCCACAGTCCAAAGACATGCGGTACAGGTTAATTGAATAAGCTAACTTGACCGTAGTGTATGAGTGTGAATGAGAGGGGGTGTACATTACTGGTTTGCAGCTGGAATGGCATCCGCTGTGTAAAACATATGCTGTGTTGGCTGCCGTTGTCATACATAAGTTGTCTGTTCATTCCACTGTGGCAACCCCATGATGAATAAAAGGACTATGCCGAAGGAAAATGATTGAATGAACTCTTCAGTGGATTCTCTTTTCTTGCACATGGTGTCTTGCATGATAATTAAAATATTATCAAAAATGTTTTGGCACATCTCTGCATTGATGTATGGTTCTGATGGATAACTAAAATACACTCTTTTTTTCAGTAAAGCTGCTGTAGTTTATTTGGCTAAATTTGGATTTTTTGCTTAAATTCAGTTTAAAAAGTTTGCATGAAGTTAAAAGGAACTCACTTTGTCATCATGCTGAACTGTGCACACACATTTTAACACACAAGTTCTTATGCCTTCCATTTAATAAATTTATATCATTCATTCATTCATTCATTCATTCATTCATTCATTCATTCATTCATTCATTCATTCATTCATTCATTCATTCATACATTTATTTATTTATCTATTTTCTTATTTGTTTATTTATTTATTTTTGTGATTGCCCTGTTATTGCCACCTTAAACAAATGTGAAAAAAATACTATATGTTTTTTAAAACGATCAAAACAAAAATTGTGTAACTCTAAAATAATGAACAAAACCCTAAAATACACCACATACAGTATGTATTTAAAAAACAGGAAAAATGATCATGCATGCCATCACTGTTTGTTAAGGGGCTTCACAGAGGTACAGTACTCCATACAGACAAATGTCTACACTGTGAAAGCAGAGCATAAAAACCATCCATCAATCTTTTCTCCCATCTCTCATTATCCATGAACATACTGAATACTCCACTCAGGTGTACAGTAAATACCATTGTAGATTCTTGAGTTACTTAATGCTGCCGGTGATTTAAATTTCACTACTGCGCACACACCCTTCCACAATGACCTTTCACAGAGTGTAAAGTGTTTTATTTAGCAGACTCCTGGCGGCAAGAGCTCTCACTCTATAAAGAGCTGTGTGTGTGTGATCCACTCAGGAGGTTTCTGTCCTCTGCTTTCCTCCACAGCGCATGCGATATAATGCTGTGGTGTGTGTTTATACTCACCGGGTGATACACAGCACCACTACACATATGATGGCCACCTGCAGAGCACCAATGACGGACGCGATGAGGACATAGCGGAGCTTTCCAGAGCCTGGCACCACATATAGCACATTATACTCCTTAGTGTCACACTGCGGCCCGCTGAATCCTGAGTGACAGCTGAAGAAAGAGGAAACACTCCCTTATATCCTTGTTTGATTGCATGGGTGTCTATTACTTGTTTTTAAACAGTCTACACTCTCTGTAATATACACACACTCACTGCAGTGTTTCCTGCCCTCAAAGGCTTTCCTCAAAAACACCTGCTGTTTTACTGCAGCAACTGCTCAAGATGATTTTCTCTGTCTTATTATTTCTCTTTTCTTTTACTTTTCTGTGACTTTAATATGAGTTTTTACAAGCTGAATAGCCAATTATATTTTATTAAGCTGATGTGTGCAGCTTTGCAGTAAAAAGAAAAACTTGGTGGCAGCTTGATCTGCAGAAATGATTTGTGTAATGTTTTCTCTAAACAATGTACAAATCAAGCAATAATGCGTGGGGCAGCACTACATGTTTTATATATATATATATATATATATATATATATATATATATATATATATATATATATATATATATATATATATATATATATTTATTTTTTATTTTTAATTAATGCATTTAACACATTTTTTGAACTAACTAATAACTAAAGATATTTTTAAAGGGTTCACACTTAGCTGATCATTGATAATGAAGCTTGTTTAGCATGCTGTCTTGGGAGAGAGCCCTGAGCTTATGAGATCCTAGAGCCTTGGGTTCCTTCTCGTTTGCAGAGTGAGAGGGGAGTTTGAGCTCAGGTAGATCTCGATGAACTCCCCAGGCTTATTTCTGGCTAATGACAGATATAGGATGGCTGAGAAGAGGTGTACTCGCTAAGAGCTTGGCTATGGTATCAATTTGTTATGCTCAATTTACCTAGGTAGTGTGTTTTTTGGACTGTGGGAGGAAACCGGAGAACCCGGGGAAAACCCACGTGAGAACAAGCAAACTTCACACAGAAATGTCATCTGGTTTAGAAGGGACTTCAATTAGAGACATTCTTACTGTGAGGCAAGAGAGCTAATCACTGGGCCACTGTGTTGTTCATCTGGAAAGAAGGGAAAGTAGGGGGGGATTTTTCAAGACAAAGATATTAAGATAGGAAAACTGTGGTTATGTATAGTGAGTTAGGAATCATCTGATTGGAGAATAAATCATGAACTGATGGGGGACCAGCTGAGAACAGTCATAAGCACATGATCCTCTCCAATTTAGTTTATAAATAAACTTTACATAATACTGGTTTCCCTTTTTCATTTATATTAAGCTAACAAATTAACAATGGCCACTTTATAATTAGTCCCCTCAACAACTGCGATTTGTATTTTATAACTACAATCCTCATGAAAGAATGAATGAATAAATGATATAAAGGATAAAAGTGTCCTTCTGAAAAGTCAAGATAAATAGTCATAAAATGTCATGGAAATTTCATAATTTTTTTTTTCCTAGTAAAATTAATCTTTAACCTTTTATTATTATTTTATATGACACACATAGAAATATTCTTTGAAAAAAAATATGCAGTTTACTGGGGGTTATTACAAGACCTCCGGACTTAATTATTTAAATATATACATAAATAAATAGCTATCGATGTAAGCATATATGTGATTCTTTGCCCGATAAAGAGTAAAAAACGCCATTTATACATTAAAAAACACTAGAAATTAACTATTTTATTTGCTTGAAAAGTTTTAACTCATAAAAACATTAAATGTTTAACTTCTGAAATGTTTAAATATTTATTATTTTACAATTATTTCATTAATGTAGCCTACTGCCACTCCCTACTTCTGTGGATAATAAAAAAACGTGTAACACTTTATTTTGATGGTCCATTTGAGTATTAGACTGTCTGCTTAATATCTGTTGATACGGCTCCTTCAACAGACATTTAACTGACTATACAAAACTTTACAAGTAGCTACATATCATCTTACAGTTACACTAACCCTAACCCCAACCCCAACCTAACAGTCTACTTATAATCTAATGAGAATAAGTTAGCATATAGATTCAATGTAACTTAAGTCAACAAACGGACCATCAAAATTAAGTGTGACCTAAAAGACAACAACTTTGACAGAAGAAACATGAAACATGTCTTGGTGGGTCTTTATCAATGGTAAAAAAGAAAAAAAAACACTCGTTGCTGAACACTTGGGGGAGACAAAGATCTGTGACAGTTACATACACAATCACAACAAGCTGTGTTTAAACACTTATTCTGAATGTGTTTTTCAAGATGGGCCAAACTGGGCTGATCAGACACATCAAACATGTCTACAAACATGTCTGTGTTTGTAACATGTCAGGACACAAATGTGTTTAAAATCACGGTTATAACAAATGTAATGCAAGGTGATGGACTTATAAAAACATTGCCCATGTCCCTATTTTTGAAATGGCTTATACATTTGGATTTTCATGAAGTAAAAAAAAGTGTGGTTGTGATAGGGCTTTACAAAATGCAGTTTGTACGTTATAAACACAATGGAACATTCACACCATTCACAAACAAAGAAATGTGTGTGAGTGGTGTGTACCTGCAGGACGGTGTTGAGAGCATGTTGGGATATTCACAGTCTCCATGAACACAATAGTTCTTGTAGTGCTCAGGGCAGGGGATGTACAGACCCCTTGCCACCTCTGAAACCTCAGGCTTCTCCTCTATAATTCACACACAGACACACAAGTGGGTCAAAATGGCTGAAATCAAGGACATCTTCAGATTCACAGCCATGTTAAAATAAACTTTCCGTAATAATAATAATAATAATAATAATAATAATAATAATAATAATAATAATAACAATAATAGGAATAATAATAATAATAATTATTATTATTTATTAGATTAATTTATTAGCTAATGTATTTACTAACAAAACTGAATATAAACAATACTTGCATAGCATTTATTATTAATCATGTTTCAAGATTTACTAATGCATTATTAACATTTAAACACATACTTGTTAACATTAGTTAACGCACCATGAGTTAAACTAACAAGGAACAACTGTATTTTCAATAACTAACATGAACATATACTGTAATCAATGTATTGCTCATTGTTTGTTCATGTTAGTAAAAGCATTACATAACATTGACTAATACAATCTTATTGTAAAGTGTGACCAATAATATAATAATAATGATGAAACCCACCTGTGTAGTCTGTCCTGGCATACTGTCCATCTCCGGCTTTGGTGCCTGTAATCATGTCGCCTGCAGGATAAAGGATTCAGATTTTAAAAGAGCAGATCGTCCTCTGTCTGATGGTTACATAATAAAGCATGTTTTCATTTGTACATTGCCATTTTAAAGATGATATTTGGGTAAGTGCTGTTCCAGAGACTAATGATCATATGAACATGAAGGGACTTGATTGCATAACAGTGATTTATAATTTTCATCTTTACATGATATGCACTCACTGTCTTATATAAATGCAAATTCAATGGAAGAAGACATCATAAGAAAGGCTCAATTCATTACGTAAGCCCTCAAAAATCTTTTGAAGTCTTACCCTGACAGTGACCCAGGAACTTGACCTCGATGCGCTCCTGTCGCTGACACGACGCCTCTTTTACCTGGCATGGGTTGTCATATGAACGGCCGTCTGATGCGCACACAGGGTTAAAACTGATGTGGGAGCAGTCGATGTTACACACGCACCTGAGTAGTGAGAAAGCGCACTGTAAATGCCAATTACTGGCAAATCAAAGACCATGAAAAACATCATTTAACGAGTGTCACACCTTGTTTGATCAAGATGTCAGCCAAGAATAACACTTCAGACATGCAAATTAAGGATTCAGAGTAATTGCTGGAGGGCATTCAGAATTTCAACGTCTGATATTGATGTAAAAATGTAAAAGTTTAATTACATCTTTTTTCAGGGCCAGTTGGAATTAATGCCATTTCTGTTCATATATTAGAAGAAAAAAGGAATGTTTAAAAGAAGATGAAACAGAAACAAGAAAAGCTTTAAAAAGGCTCCAAAGAGTTTGTTTTGTTTCAGCAATCCAATAGAGGAACTATATTGGTTCTATAGAACCTTTGATTGGGTTCTTCAAAGAACTCTTTCGTCTTAGTGTAAAGACTATTATAATAATATAAAGAAAACTTTGTACCTCTTTAAACAACCATTCTGCAAGATTCAGTGAAGATTAAATAATTTCTACACTCCAAAAAATATGTTTGCTGTTTGATCAAATGACTTTTTTAAACTTATATTAGTTGAAACACAATTCTGGAGTTTTTACAGTGTATGGAAACATCAATGGCAATAAGAAACTTTTTTTATGTTCTTTGTGCTCATATGAAAACAACTCTTTTAATTAAAATATGGATTATACAAGATAGCATATGAGATTAATTCAATCATGTGACTCATCTTTCTAAAGTGTCATTTAAGCATTGTGACTGACTTAAGTTTATGTCAAAAGAAGAGACAATGCATACTGTATTGTCACCTTGTGTCAGTCTGAAAGCTGCTCATAAACTCATTATAAACGATTTGGAGTATTTCAAGTTAACATTTTAACCTATTGTGGGCCTGCGAATTCATTCTTTACATCAGCAGGTACCAGTAGCTATATTCTTCGTTCAAAGAAGTAAACAGACACTAGGACTGCAGATACACAAAAGTAAAGTATGAAGTGCTATTTTGACTTTTATTTATAGCAATCCTTTCTTCATTCCAGGTGGCTCATATTGTTATGAATACATTTGCATACTGAAATGCTCAGGTAGGATGACATAACTTTAAAGAATCTTTCTGTTTGTGCAGTTTTGGCTTCTTTGCTTATTCTTCATACATTCTAAACCAAATATCCAGACAGAGTATTTGCTTTCAACGACGGCTTGATGCCGATTCAGCATGCTGAACTGGGCACACTGCCACTGACATGATCCTGCATAGTGGAACAGTCTGCAAAAACGTCTTGATAGGCATTTGCAAGGCCCAACATTGTCAAAAGGCTGGCTTGATGTGTCATGGTCCTATAGGTAGCACTGCATGTTTTTGATTCAGTTAAAAAAGCTTGTGAATCAAACTGTGCTGGTCATGGTTGTATTGTTTGCTTTTGCATGCAGCCTGCAAGGACAATTTATAGGACCTGTGAAATTAAAATAACGTTTTTTAGATGTTAGTATCAGTATGTTAGTCTAAAGAATATCTATAATCTAGTGTTCTCCAAAACAGTGACTAAATTCACTTTTAGAAGATATAAAACTAATAAAAATATGCAAACACAGGTCTCCAACTCGACTCCTGAAGGGCCATAGCTCTGCAGTTTTGCTCCAACCCTAATCAAACACAGCTGATCAAACTAATCAAGATGTTCAAGACTACTAGAGACTGTGGCTGCCTCCGAAACCGCCTACTACTCAGTAGGTACTGCATTTGAATTTAAACGAATTTAAACTACTCGGCCGTTAGAAAAGTATGTTCTATACAGTATGAATGTGAAAAGTATGAATGGAATTTGGACGTACTACATCCGCCATTTTGTCATGGTCCTGTGTCAGTTGCATCGCTTTACTCCGATTCATAATTCGCTCAAAGGCATCATGGGATAGGGTAGCATGCATGCGATGTGCACTCCAGAATCTCGCCGGAAGTAGTAAGTCATCGGGTACTTCTCGCACACTGATTTCCGAATTCTATGAATTTAGACATACTACTCGGCTCGCATACTGATTTTAGCATACTATAGTATGGAAATATGCGGTTTCGGACGCAGCCTGTGAGTTGGAGGTGGTTGGAGCTAAACTATGCAAGGCAATTGAGTTTGAGACCACTGGTGTAAAGCTTGCAGTTTGTCACTTCTGCCTAAATGAGTCAATGTTGTTTTTTTTTACATCACCTCATACTTCAGTTTCAGATCAAATCTTGCTCAATTAAATTCTCACTAGTGTCTGACATGGCCCGCCCCTTGCTTTATATTTTATATGCTTGAGCTCAACTACTCTCATTGGCAGCTATGATAAAGCAAAATTCTATTGGCTGCTTTTTTTTAAAGAGAAGGAGCTACTATTTGCCCTGTCCTCTCTTTGAGTTTCATTGCGATTCCAATAAACATTAAATAAAAAATGCGCATTTCAAAGCACTTCATGGGACCTTTAATAGAAATGTTTTCTCATGGAACTTTGTGTTTTTAATGCATAACAATGCAAGACAGATTTTATAAATTGATAAATCAAAGCCATGAATGAAAATGTATATTTTAACCCACACAGTCGATTATGTTTTATGGCAAGTGTCTAATGCGTTTATGAAAATATACATATAAAAGGAAATAAATACAGTTTCATTCAGAAGTTTGCTGTTGGTAAGATTTTCTAAAATGTATTTTCATGAAGAACAGACTAAAAATATTATTTTTGCCAAAAAAAAAAAAAAAAACTTTGATAGCTTTATAAAATTCTCTAATAGCTTTAAATTAAGTCAGTAAAAATGTTTAATCTTTAAAAGTTTTAAAAACCCTGTGATGACTAAGCTGATTTTTCATTATCATCATCATCATTTTTTTTTACAGAATTTTTCCTTTTTTTATTATACAGTGAAATACCTGTTGTTTTACAGATATGTTCTGTAATAAAAAACTTCTTACAATAAATTTACAGTTATTGCTTGTAATTTGGTATTACGTAATTTTTCTGCTTTTTAAAGGAAATTTTATGTATTTTCAGAGAGTAACATGTAATTTTATGTTAATATTTACAGATTATTTCTGTAAAAATAGGGAAACAAAAATGCAGTCAAATTGTTTTTAGTGAAGATAAACATATGAAAATTAATAAAGTCAAATAATAGCCTTGTTTGTAGGCTGCATATAATGAATGCACTGTAAACTATGAAATATTTATTTTACTACTCTAACAATGTTGCTATGCGAACTGTGACAATCACCAGTGATCTAGCGGCTGCAGATCACTGTAAAACTATACGTTACTTTAGAAATGAGCAGGAATACTACATCAAAACTGCAGAAACTGGAGAGACGCAGAGCCTTGCGATGTATACGCACCGCCATCTTGCCTCCAGTTTAACGAACTACAACTCCCAGCATGCACCTCGCACACTTGGGTTCCTAATTCAAACTGATTACCCACACAGTCAGAAGATAGTTATGGACTGATTTCAAGAACTTTAAACTCAGCACACACATATCGTTTCTAAGTCTTAAACTGTTTAGTGAGCATTACGACGCAGTTTCCCTTGCCTTGCCGTGTTTGACCCCTTTACTTTGTTATTTTGTTTGCCGCCTTTATGCTTGGTATTATCTGTATTTACCTGTTTGTTCCTGTTTCAACCTTTAATTGCAAGATGATTCTGTTAATAAACTATTTACAGTTTACTGTTATTTAGAGTTTAACCTACATATCCTTAAAATATTTGTTCAACTATATTACAGTTTATAGTTATCTTTACAGTAATTATTGTACCCAAGCTTTTTTTTTCAATCATTCTTTAAAAGTTTTTTTTTTCATTTTTAAATGTATGTTAAAATTGGAAAATTTGATGGAATATTTGGAGATTTAATGCCTAATTACATAAATAATCTGTATAATTACATTAATAACATGCATAATTACAGTTATTATCCTTATAATCACACTAATTAATCTGTATAATTACAATAATAACCAGTATAATTGCAGTAATAATCCTTATAATCACATTAATTATCAGTTTAATTACATTAATATATATATATATATATATATATATATATATATATATATATATATATATATATATATATATATATATATATATATATATATATACACAGTAATAATTTGTAAAATGACAGTAATAATCTTTCAGATTAGCTACATTTTTTGTTCCGACAGTTTTTTTTCCGACCCCTGCTGCCAGAAAATTACTGTTTTTTTAAACCGTTTTTTTAACCGTTTTTTTACAGTGCTTGACAACAAAATCAGCCATATGTTTTTTTTTTTCCTTTTATTCTTTCGAAAATTGAGATTTATGCTTATGCTTACACACCTGCCCTAGATCCTGTCTGATTGCATACACTCACAGCTACTGAAGCTAATCGTGAACTGATTACATAGAATATAAAGTCAGCCCACAAACACACAGAAGTTGCGGAGTCTTCTTAAACTGTGGATCAAGACATGCGGTTTCCTTGACATGCCTTTTTGACTTCTGTGTTTTTTAACGTTGCTTTATTTTGTTTGTTGTACCCCGTCTGCTGCCTGCCTTTTGACTACCTGCCTGTTTTTTTGACTACGAATCTGGATTTGCCTGTACACATCTGTTTGGCCCTGTGTTTACTGTTGCTTGTCTGACCATTCTGCTAAATAAACCTGCTTGTGGATCCGCACCTCTGTTGTCAGCATCACTTCACATTTACATATATGCATTATATGAAAATGTATTAATTAGTCTACAGTGATTTATAGACTTTAAGGTAAGGACAGAAGATAATTGAAAATCTGTCATCTTAGGATTCCAAAAAACAAAATAAAAAACATAACACTAAGAGAGTTGTCAATATGACGTTTACAGCAATGAGCATTACTAAACAAAAGTTTTGATACTTATAGTAGGAAATATACACAATATCTTCATGAAACATGATCTTTACTTAATACTTTAAATATTTTGGAAACAATGTATTTTGGCTATTGGCAAAAAAAAC